TAAATCTGTCTTGGAGTAAGTACAACCAGAATGCTTCTTAAAAGCTAGGATGGCGAGCCTGCATCTCAAGTACTTTGGACGTGTGATGAAGAGAGACCATGGAGCCCCAGTAGCCGAGTGGTTACTTCTTGAGCTGCTAACCGCAAGGTCAGCAGTTTGAAACCACTAGAGATCTTCAAGAGAAAGGCCGGCCTTTCCTACTTCCATAAAGATTTACCGTCTCAGAGACTTACAGGGGCAGTTCTACCCTGCCCTCTAGGATCACTCTGGGTCGGAATTGACTCAATGGCATTGAGTTTAGTTTTCTGGACATCAAGAGAGACGAGTCCTGGGAATTGGGCATCATGCTTGGTAAAGTAGAGGGCAGGGAAAGAGGAAGTCTGCCCTCACTGGCAGCAATTGTGCGTGTGGAGCGGGACGGACTGTGTTCCGTTCTCTTGTATGTCGGGTTGGAGTCTACTTGATGGTCATGGCTTATAGTTTATCATTCAGTCTCTCTAGGGCTCCTTTGTTTTTGCACTGGCCTGCCAGGACAAATGTGGATTGCTTAGGTAGCAGTTTCATACTAGAAACGTACTAATTAACATCTCATGGTTCATGAAGGCCTGTCTCTGTATGCCTTTTACTTTGATCACACAAAAACAGTATCTTAGCAAAGCACTCACAAATTCAGTTGCATTAATGATGCATTTTAAAGGTTGAGAAGTTGAGAACTAGCTATGACAAAGCATATATAGATGTTCATAGCCCATTATATGTATTGGAGCCCTGGTGGCATAGTGGTTACTCTTGGACAACTAACCTCAAGGTTAGCAGCTCTAAACCACCAGCCACTTCTCAGGAGAGAAGAGACTTCCTACTCCCTAAAGAGTTACAGTCTCGAACACCCACGGGGCAGTTCTACCCTGTCCTGCCCTGTCAGGGCACCACTGATCAGAATTGACTCACTAGAAATGAGTCTGTTTGTTTGGGGTTTTCTCATATGTACTAAAATTTGACTTAAAAAGACCCTTTAATCATTTTTTTGAGTATTCCCTTCCTAAAAATTAAATAAATCTCACAATATTATTTTCCAAAGTTTGAGATAGTATTTTCTAAAATACTTCTCTGCCTAGTCTATTCTTTCTGTAACTCAGAAGTGATTAGATTTATTATACAGCCTAACCTGATATGATCAATACAACAAAGAAAGTCCTGTTTCCAAACAGGACAACACCCAGAGGTACAGGGTTAGGATATTCAGTTTAATCCTGAGCATCTCCCCTACCTTGGTTCTTTTCCAGGTAACCTGGAAGTTCTGGAAAGATATGGATGTCCTCAATGAGAGCAGTGTGCTTTTCTTCGTGTTAGAATATCTAATGTTCAACATTTGGCTTACCCAAAATAATGTTCTAAATATAGAGAAGGAACCCTAGTGGCACAGTGAGTAAAAGTGAGGGACTGCTGTGGTTCCAGACCACCAGGTGTTGAGAGAGGGGGCGGGCAGTCTGCCTCCATGAAGACTGTGGAAACCCAAAGGAGCAGTTCTCTGACCTCTAGGATTGCAGTGAGTCAAAATGAGCTCAATGACAGTGAGTTAGGTGTGGTTTGGGGTCTATGATCACATAGGCAAAAAGTAAAAGTTTGTTTTTTAATCGTATGGGTTGTTTGGTTGTTTAGGGTTACAAACCACCTGATGAAGGACCTTCTGAATACCAGACGATCCCGCTCAATAAAATAGAAGATTTTGGTGTACACTGCAAACAGTAAGTCATCGTAACCGTACCAGACGTTGAGATCATCCATTTGGAATCCTGATAGTTTAAACCTTTATTTCACAGAGAAGAAGAAGGGTTCGGCTGTAATAAGCTTCACAATACCTTCTAAGTAATAGCGAGACTACAAATGCAGGGTAACGTGTGAACATTTCATTCAAAACTGTTCTAATGTGGTACTTCATTTGGCTTTTACCCAACTGGAAATAACTTCCCAACGTCCACTAAGCTTAACACAAAGCAAAGTAAATACTTGAGCAAAGTTGTGTTCAGGATCAAGTTGATAATCGCATGTCTGTCCCCCCCCCACACACACAACCCCCGCTCCCCAAAAGAACTCAGGATCTACTTAGCAAAGATTCTTTGTAAGCATTTCACTTCAGAAGTGAAAGGTGCTGTACTACACCACCACCATCTGCAACCTGGACCCTGGCACAGGCTTCCACTAGTCTCCCCGCTTCTACCCTTTACCCTGTGAAGGTCTGTGCTCCGCCCAACGTTCTGTTAACATGTAAGTCGGCATGCTGATCCTCTTCTCAGAGTGACTTCTCCTCTCAGAAGGAACAAGAGCCTTCGTTTTGACTGAGGCCTGCATGACCTGTTAGGGCCTGACCCCAGCGACCTCTTTAACTTCGTCTCCTCGTCCTGAGTATTCTTCTCTCCAGTTCGGCCACACTGGCTTTACAGTTTCTCAGGACCTTGGGCGTGATGTTTTTCCCTGCCTGGAATATTCTTCTAGCTGTGTGGCTGATCACCTACAGTAATCATTAAATACTTGCTTCAGTCTTAACAGAGAATATTCATCACATGCCCCATCTAAAATAGCACCTCCCAGTTGCTCTCTGTTCCTGCTTGCTTTTTTTAAAAAAAAAGTTTATTTTAGCATTTGTCACCAACTGACAAGTTTTCTCTTCATTGTTGTTGACACCCTTGGGATGTGAGTCTCGTGGGAACAATAGTACTCCCTTCTGAGCTCTCGCATTTAAAACTGACCGTCATTAGAAGCCCTGGGGGCAGTGTGGGCTAGGCAGTAAGCTACTGACTGCGTGGCCAATGGTTTGAACCTGCCAGTGGCTCTGAGGGAAGAAGATGAGGGTGTCTGCTTTTATAAAACTTTAAAAGTCTCTGAAACTCAAAATCACAGTTCTGTTCTGCCCCCTAGGCTCTCTGTGAGTTGGAATCGACACATTGGTAGTGAGTTTGGTTTGGGCATAGAGAAAATGGGAACCAAAATTTTTCGCTGTTTAAATGATTGGCTAGTTGTGCAGTTTCCGGGGGTCACGGCACTAAAAGTAAAACCACGCACTACATGACTTAAACCAAATATTCATTCGCTCACAGTTATGGAGGTGAAAAATAAGTCCCAAATCAAGGTGTCAGCAGGGCCATGCATCCCCTAAAGACTTATGGAAAGAATCCATCCTTGCCTCTTCTGGCTCCAGGAAGTTGCTGGCAAACCTCCACATTCCTTAACTTGCGACAGTATAATGCCAATCCCTGTCTCTGTTTTTCCTTCATTTCATCTTCCCTGAGTGTTTGTTTCTCTGTGTCCAAATTTCTCCATTCTTCAAAGCACACTAGGCATGTTGCCTTTAGGGCCCACCTTATTCCATCAGAGGAGTCCCGATGGTACAATGTTGAACTGCTTGGCTGCCGAGACGGAAAGATCTGCAGCCCTAACTCACTGACGGCCCTGTGGGAGAAAAGACCTGCTGATGGGGCAGTTCTGTTCCGTCTGAGGACTTGCTTTAAGTCAGTGTCAACTGGACAGCACAGCCACAACCACAGCAAATCCAGGATGACCTTATCCTAGTAACTGGATTACATATGCAATGACCTTATTTACATATTCAGAGGAACTGGGTGGACGGCCCTGGTTGGCCTTGGACTGTAAGGGCTGTGGTTCAAACCCACCAGCTGTTCCTCCGGAGAAAGATACGGCTCCCATAGAGATTTATAGCCTCAGAAACCCTGTATACTTCATGCCAGTGAGTTCAGTTCAACCCAGTACACCGAGATATGATATCCATTCTTTCTCTTTTTCAAAACATTTTATTTTTCAGTTACAAATTTGGCATTAAATCATTTTATTTGCCCTTTGAAAAGAATTTAAATCAGTCTTGTTTGAGAGAATTACTCCTGTAATAATTTCATTTTCAGAGTAGTAATTAGTTTTTACCAATTAGTTTTACACTGTAGCATAAAAGATTTATATATTGAATGCCAACTCTTTTTTTCCGCTCCACCACTAACTGTAGCTTTCAAAACAAATTTAAAAAGAGATCCAAAAACTCAAATACCAGACACTTTGCCATTCAGTCAATTCCAACTCATAGCGACATGACCCCATAGAGCAGAGTAGAGCTGCCCCTGTGAGTCTCCGAGACTAAATCTGTATGGGAATAGCCTCATCTCTGTCCATCGGGACTGGTAGGTTCCAGCCACTGACCAGGGCGCCTTTGACTTCTCTGCTGTTTATTCCATGGGTCATCCTTTTGGTCTTCCTAAAGCCTTTGTCTTTGGACAAGTGGTCTACCTTCCTGCTCTGATATTAACCTAGCGCAGCATGGAAGCTGCTGGTCTAGCTGCCTGCATTTCTACAGCCCCCAAGAATACTCAAAAGATTGTCTCTTAAATAAGAAAGCATTAACTTTTTAATTGAGAAAAGGGTTGACTTAACATTTGACTGAAAATAAGGATAATAAATCCTTCCTCACATTGTGGGAAGATTATTAAAGATACATACCACCCAGTTGAAAAACGGGAATTGGCAGCATGGTTATAAATCCATTTTCTAAATTATTTCATGAAGAGTTACTTGTAGTTGATACTGGCTTCACTTTTTGTACCTTAAATCTCAGCTCACAGTGAACACCCAAAGTTTGTTTTAAACACAGAAACAATCTAATGTATGTGTTAGGTAGTTTATTATAAACAACCTAAGTAAAAAATTCAATATTCTTCTAATTGGTTTGTATTTTTATCAGTGTTATACACGCACATAGTTTAAATAGTATCACTTGATTCTGTGAGCGTCTACTTTTCCCTTTCCTCCCCCCCATTGGCCATACTTAGACTGCTATAGTGACTCTCTTAATTACTTACCCCATATCGTCAAACAGTATGCTTATGGTGCTGCTTATTCATGTTGTTCTAGGAAGTAGCTACTTTTGACTTGTAGTGCAGAAGGGTTGTTGAATATTCTCATTGTTTTCAACTTTTTGGCGAAGATCGGCACTAATCACTATGTCGTGTTGTGCTGGGTGCTGTTGGGTCTATCCCAACTCATGGGCCCTGTGTGCAGCACAAGGAAACAGTGCCTGGGCTTGCGCCATCCTCACCGTTACAGTTCTGTTCGAACCCATGGCTGTGTCCACTGTGTCAGTCCACCTCCTCGAGGGTCTTCCTCTTTTTCATCGACCCTCTATTTTACCGAGCGTGATGTCCTTCTCCAGGGACCGGCCCCTCCTGACACATGTCCGCTCTGAGAGGTCAAGGCTCTGTCCTCGATTCCGGCTCGTCTTCATCCGTCGCCGGTTTAGTCAGACAAACGTTCTGGCTTTTGTCTCTACTTATTAAGCAAAGCTCATTTATTGTGTCATCCTTCAGAATTAAAACAACAATTTTAACATTTACCAATAATGAAAACAACTCTGCTTTTCTATACCTGGCCTTTCCACCTGGGGAAAATACCACATGCTACCCACCCACCCCTTTCCCCAAACTTTTGGGAACTCACTTCCTAAACTCTCCAAAATGTCTTCATCCCTTATGGAAACAGAAAGACAGAGTTTTAGGTAATAGAATGGGTGTGTTTGTTTATCTTTGCTCAGCCACTTACTAGGTATGTGGCTTTCAGCAAGTCCTTCAATCTCTCCTCATCTGTGTTCTTGCTGTCAAATGGGGAAAATAAATCCTTCCTCACATGTGGTAGAGAAGATTAACGGAGAATGTAAAGCACCTGGGCCAGGGAAAGATGCTCAAGAACCAGACTGTGTCCCTAGCTGCTTTGCTTCCGTCATTGTTTCGTTTCAGACACACACAGGTGCCTTTATCTTGTAAAGGTCTTCGCTCGATTCCCATGTCATTAACCTCTTAGTCCTCATCATTTCTTCACCGCAAAACTTTAATCAACAAGCATTTGTCCTTTTGCTCATGTAAAACAAAGGGGGACCGAGCTTTGCTTTTTCGGTGCTCACCCTACAGTCAATGGCTGTCTCTGTGGCATCCCTGCCCCCGCTTCGCCCCTTCTTCGACACTCTCCAAAGGGTGCGGCCACACACAGTCAGTTGTCCGAAAAGGCTCCTCTCCCTAGACGCCATCCACAAGTCCTGAGTACGAGAGGATAAAGTTTAAATCTGTCAGGCTTACCTGACAACGTCCCCCACCTGTGAGCCCCAGCAGAGCACTCCTCTCCTGCTCTAGCCGGGTTGCCCAGCCAGGCTGACTTATCAATCTCCCTTCTACATCATAGCCTTTCGTGTGCAGATAATCTCCACTTAACGCTCTTTGCCCACAAAATTCATACAGTCAGCTCTGTGAGGGCTAAAGCCTGCCTTCTCTCTCAGGCTTCCTTAGCAATTCTAGCCGACCTTAGCTCTAGCCCACTGCAGCTCCTCTCCACTCAGAGTGCTTACCCATGGTCTCTGTCTTTGTCGTTATCTGTCTGTTATCTGGGTGGTAGGTTTTGTATATCCCTATAGCATCCCTTACTGTTATTGAACGTACACCATTTGTTTAACTTTTGTGGGTTCATGCCACATCCTCCCACTGCCCTATAAATGATGAGTTGCTTCAGGTTAAGAAGACTGCTGTGTTTCTTTGTATCCACCGGTATGCAGAACCCAGTGAGATATTAAAAAACCTTTTCTTTTTAAAAATGTGGTCTTTAGACATTGAATCAAAATTTCCTAGCTATCTACAATTATAAACTGTGAACCTTTGGACACAGTAGTAGTTCTTTCAAGTGACTTATGGACCTATTTTAAAATCACCTTTTTCAAAAAGCAGTAGGTCCTAATCAGAAGATTGAGAAAAAATAAGAAAGCTATACATTTTCAGCCTTTCAAAACACCTCATGAAAATTGCATACTGACCTTTGAAAGGCAGCTCATTCAGTTAATGTACACACCTGGCTGTAGTTGATGATCCGTAGCACAGGTAAACTTGTCATTCAGAAGATCTGGCTGGGTGTTGAAACCTTCTCGGAAAGTTCTGGGCTCGAAGAAGGGAAGAAATAAAAATAAGGACGATTGGCCAACAGAAAATTTGAAACCACAGCCCCTAAAAAGTCAGGAAGCCATGGTTCCCTGGTAGTTTCACATGGATTAAAAATTAAAGTATGACTATTGGATATAAAACATAAATCGATTAAATCTAGCCATAACTCAATAATTGAATATTTTTCACTTACTAAATTTTTGCTTTCATTCAATAGATATTACGCCTTGGAAGTTTCATATTTCAAATCCTCTTTGGATCGCAAATTGCTTGAACTTTTATGGAATAAATACTGGGTGAATACACTGAGTTCTTCTAGCTTGCTTACCGTGAGTACTATACTTTCAAGGGATTCACTTGAATTTTATAAGCTATATCAGTTGGTTGAAACATGAGACTGACATGGAAAAGCAACATCCAGCTTGGCCAAGATCCCAGAGCTAGATTGGGTGCTCGACCAAACCACTGTTGGTTTCGTGTACCGTGAAGACCAAATCTAAATAGCAGATGTAGTGGCCAGAGCAGGATGGGACTGCCACTGCCTTAGAGGGAGAACAAGACAGATACTGTGAATGTGAGCATATACACAGCGGCACCAGAAGTGCAATCATGGCTACAGATGGGTGAGGGGTTGTCGTTATGTTTACTTTCACTTTTATTTTTTGTATCTTTTCTAATAACCATTTCATGTATCATCACAACAGCCAGAACATGTTAGTTCTTAGAATGTTGGGTTTTGTACTGATTCTAAAAGTTCAACAAGAAGAGTAGCAAGAATGCGCTGATAATTTAATTTTGGGGCGTTTATTAGGTGTGATGGCAGGCCTAAGAGCTCTATGTTCCTCCCCTCATCTAATGGCTTACAACAGCCTTAAGCAATAACCTTAGTAATGGTACCCACTCTCTGCTTCTCCAGAGGGAATTGGGGGTTCAGAGCAGTAAAAATATAGCAGAACCACAGCGTCCCAGGAGAACAAGTATGAGATTTAAGCAGTTGAGAGAACAATTCCAAGTTTTACCTTGCAATTATGAAAGGGGCGGGGGAATCTACACCTGAACTGCTGAGATTTGGAAAGCAGTTTTTGCAAGTGGAGTTTGACATTGGACCCCACTGTCGGTGCAGATTGTGTTAGGTAGAACTCTTGAAAATGAAATGTTGTAAGGAAATTAATTTCTTTAAAATTAAATGGATTGTCTTTTCAAGGGTAGGCCTGCATTACAGTAGATAAATAAATCCTGACGCGATGCCATTTTCTCCACAGAATGCAGACTACACCACTGGCCAGGTCTTTGATTTGTCTGAAAAGCTGGAGCAATCGGAAGCCCAGCTAGGACGAGGGAGCTTCATGCTGGGCTTAGAGACGCATGACCGGAAGTCAGAGGACAAACTCGCCAAAGCGACGAGGGACAGGTGAGTATGAACGTGTCTGGCCCTTGCCTGTCACCCATCCCTGTACTTTTTCAGCAACCAGATAGGTCAGAGTAGAACTGCCCCTTTGGGTTTGAGACTTACAGTTTCTACGGACGAGACAGCCCTGTTTTTTCCCACAGAGCAATTGGTGGGGTCCATCTGCTGACTTTGTGATTAGAAGCCCAACATATCACCCACCCAGGCTCCTGCAAAGAATCAGCTCACTGCCATCAAATCAATTCTGGCTCACGGTGAGCCTACACGGCAGTGCAGGACAGCCCTTGTGCGGTTCTACACTCTTACGACACTCTTTCCTGGAGTAGAAAGCCTTGTCTTTCTCCTGCTGAGCAACAGGTGGTTTTGAACTGCTCAACTTCTGCTGTAACTGCTATGCCACCAGGGCAAATAATAATAGGAATTCAATTCCTTATTCGTCAACTCAGTAAGAATGGTGCCTGAATGTTCACTTCTTGGGACCTTTCGGAGATGTCAAACATAGGCTTTCGCTTGGGATATTTAGGAGGCAGTAGATAAGAGTATTAAAGGACTAAGAGATAATAAATAGGTAATCTTATGAAAACTTTTCTAGGTTCAATTAGAATAACAGAGAAGACCAGTCCACACTAGATTTTGTTTTTAACCTATTATGGCTCCCTTTTAAATCCTTAGCTAATGGACCTAATTGTATCTCTCTTAAATCAGTTTTCTGAAACTATCTTATGTACAGTCATTTAGCAGCACATTTACTACCAAAGATTTTGTTCATAGCAAACTTGGGCTATGTTACCTAATAGCTGATGAAATAATGTTGCCGTCCTTCAGATGCAGACACTATCGGGTCCAGAAGGAATAGCAGTCACTTTTACAACAATTTGAAATTTTATTGTGATAATTAGGAGCACAGAAGAAAAAAACCATGTTGATACCTATGTAATGTGATAATATTGGTACCATTTTAAGAAAAACGGAATTTGTCTATAGGCAAGACAGGGAGAAAAGAAGTATATCCCAGAAGTGGAAGTCTTAGGATTGGCACTATCTCACTCCGTCCCTTCCCAAGGGGAGCCCGAGTGGCCTTGGAGTGGCTGTTACACTGCTAACCACTGGGTCCACTCAAGCCCACCTGCTGCTCCGTGGAAGGAAGGAAGGTTGTCTGTTCCTGTAAAGACTGACAGGGCTCAGCAGCAGACACAACTCGATGGCAGTGGGTTTCTTCGCTGTGGGTTTTTTTGGTAAATGAGTTAGTGTTCTAAATAAAATGTCTATTTTGCTTCGGCCCTGTGCCTCTTTTGTGCTTGCCCTGAGTGTTTTTGACCATCTGTCTCTTTATTTTTTAACAGTTTTATTGGTATATAATTCATATATCATGCAGTTCAATAGTTAAAAAGAGTTGTGCAGTCACCGCTACAATCAATTTTGGAACATTTTCTTCTTTGCTGTGCTCATGCTTATTAGCTCCCCACTTCCCCACAACTTCCTTAACCATAACCCCAAGACTGTTAAACCAGTTATGATCTCTCTAGAGTTACCTACCTATCCTGCATTTCATATAGAGAAGAACATATAAAAACACAAAGCAAAGCAAACAAGAGCCTAGAATAATAATAATAATAAATAAAACATGAAGACCTCTGTTGAAAAAATAGCAGAAGATAATAAAAATTAGAGCAAATTGGTCAAAAGGGAGAACAAGTGATATGGTGTTAAATTTTGCTGTCTTTTTCTGGCAGACCTGTGTCTGACATTGACATTGAATATTGTGAGTTTTGCCAAACAACCAACTCCCATTTTTTGTACGAATAGCGTCCAGTCACCTAAGGATTGATTGTGTACAAGTATAGAGGTAGCCTATCCTTGTTCAATCTCCCTCTCACAGTAGTGTTTTAAAATTACTACCATGGGCTAATCTGTGACACTATGAACAGAAAATTCTTATGATCAGTAAGATTCTGTACCATAAATTAACAAGGAGGTCTCTAAGATGAACCAGAGACAGATTTAAAAAAAAAAACCACATAAATTCAGGAATGGGTTTGGGGCTCCCATTTAATCCTAGCTCCATTCTAAGAACAATTTGTTCTTACAACATGGCCCTGCTCAATGCTTGCCCTCATAAACACCGAAGATAGGGGTGCTGTAGCAAAGTGTAATGAAGAAATTAGATGGTGCCTTGTCTTCAGAAAGAATAGCATCTGAGATCTTAGAGGTTTGTTTTCAAACAAGCAGCCATTTAAGAGAAATGTCAACTAAGCCCACATGGAAGAAGCACACCAGCATCCATGGCCTAAGGATTGTAAATTATATAATCCAAATTTGATGGAATACTATCAAAGCTTATATTGTGAGATTCTGGTGTGCAGAAAGCTATGGATGACAGGGTAAGTCCAAAATATATTTGCAGGATCTACACAGGGGCCTCTGGTGAGTTCTCTCTGATCATAATCGAAGCAGGGGAATAGCCTGGTGACCAGACAGAGTGTGCAGGAGAGATTGAAATGATAAATCTGACTTGAACGGTTAAAACCTTGTCAGTTGATCTCCCTTCTATACATTTTTTGCATTATCTGGTTTGCAGTATATTCTGGTGTGTTCGTTTGTTTCTCCATATTGGGGTTGGTCTCTGTAATATTTTGTCATTCTCTAGTATGCGTAACCCAGGGCACGTGAATCTATAAAAACAACAATAGAATAAGTGCTCTTCAGGGATATGGCAGGCGGGGGGAGGGGGAGTGCAAAGGGAACTGGTAGCGAGGAGCTAAAGAAAGAAAAAATGTTTTGGAATCGATTGTGGTAGTAATTGTTCAACACTGCTTGATATGATTGAACTACAGAATAGTATGATGTCTAGATTCGGTCCTATTAAAGTGGTTTGAAAAAAAATGACGGGGGCCTGGGGGAGCCGAAAATGTATGTGGAGGGGGTGGAAGGGAGCGCTAGAACTGATTGCAACTACACACCTCATTTTAAAAGCAATTTAACCATGAAAAAAGTTCTAAAATTGACTGGGGTAGTAATTATATAATTCTTCTTGATATGATTGAACTACTGTATGATATGTGAATTGCATGCCAATAAAACTAAAAGAAGTAAAAGTGCATTTTTTTATGGTAATGTTTTTATTCTGCAACAATTTATTTCATGAACATGGATTATGCTACTATGATACAGTCTAGATACAAACATTTTATAACACATGATAAAGTGTATTTTTCAAAGAAAAGGAAATGAAATGATCAGAAACTCAGATCTATCTACATATGGAAAAAAGACCATTAGAGAAATAAATGAAAGTTCGGTGTAAAAAATATATACGTTTTTTACCTAATTACGGTATGTCTGCATTAGTCTACTTTCCAGTGCACTCTGTCTGATATCAAGGCCATTCACGTCCCCAGTGAATGGCCAGCGGGGTTCACCAGAGGCTTCATCCAATTGGGGACCCTGCAAATGATTTTGGGACTCCACTGTCATCCATATCCTTCTGAAAACTGGGTGCCCATCCGTCTGTATGTTTGTCATTTGTCATTCTATCTACATTTACATCTGAGATTTTTATATCATAAAGATCTCACTATTGGAATATCTCCAATTATATAAGGAAAAGTATAGCCATGGAAAAGTTTCCTTTTCTGTGTAACCAAACTTCTCTTCAAATACTGCTTTTTTTTTCTTTTTGTCAATTCAAAAATCAGAATCTTTTGCCCACCAACTTAGCTTTGACAAAAGCAAACCTAAGATAGTTTCCCTTTTTTTTTTTAGTTATTCTACATAATAAGCAACAAAGAATAACAGATTTTTAATATAATTTGAAGTTTATCATTATGAACTCTGGGGTTTTTTTCAGAGTTCTCTTTTTAAAAAAAATTTTTTTAAACAATTTTTTGGGGGCTCATACAGCTCTTATTACAGGTCCGTACATCCATCTATTGTGTCAAGCACATCTCTGTAAGATTTCTGAAAAGTAGTAAAATTGATTTATTATAAGCTGTCAGATTTTCAAGACCCTTCGTGGCATAAGCCCTCAGCTGCTAACTAAACGGTAGGTGGTCTGGGCCTGCCCACCCCGCTGCACCAGAGGAGAAAAATATGGCACCTGGCTTCCTTGGAAACTAACTGATGACCCAGTTCTGCTGTGCCTTCCAGGGTCACAGTGATGCGCATCAACTTGATAAGTGTACAGTGGGTTTACATCCTGTTTGAACATCACATTCTCCTGTAAAAGTCTCAGTAAGGAGTGCCGGGGTCAAGAGACCTGCAGACAGGCAGCTGACACGTCCCGAAGGAAAGCGTCAGAATGGTGTGGTTTCAGGAGCGTGAATCGAACCGGCAGAGGCACCCACGGATGGGCAGTGGAGGAAAGTGGAATGTGTGTCAGGTTATGACACTTTGTAACGCTGCGTTTTGTCTTTACAGTTGTAAAACGACCATAGAAGCTATCCACGGATTGATGTCTCAGGTTATTAAGGATAAGCTGTTCAATCAAATTAACATCTCTTGAACCACCACTGCGTAATACTCTTGCCTGAAAATCAGCAGGAGAAAAATAATCAAGCAAAATTTTAAAACCAGTTACCAAAAATCTAATTAGGAGTCTAAAGTGCTCTGAAGTGTCGTGAATAGTAATAACCTTTAATAAAGCGCTTTAAAATGAAAATGCCCCTTTGCTGTTTTGTGGGAGGAGTCACATTATTTTTTTAGCATTCTTGAACGTGAAACAAACATTTAGTAGAATCTTTGTTTTGTACAGTCTTATATGTTAGTCAAAGGATTTCAGCATTTAATGTAATAGTTTTATACCCTCTGAGGCATTAAGGAAGTCATACCATGAGTTATTTTTCTAAAAATCAAATAATTCCTTAGAGAGAGGACCTTACTCGGAGGACCTAGCGCCATTCAGATACCAGGTGCTGTTTACTGAGCCAGGTCCAGTGTGGCTCTGAAGCTATGTTGGACAAGCTGTGCATGACTTCTGTCCTCACAGAACTTAGCCACAGCCAATTGACAAGTGCTTAACTATCCTGCTGTACAGGGAGAGAGAACGGATGCTACCAGGAGCCCTGGCGGTGCGGGGGTTGTGAGTTGGGCTGTGACCCACAAGGTCAGCCCTTCCGAACCACGAGACACTCCTGGAGAGGGGCTTTCTACTCCGTGAGATCCAGTTCCAGTCTGAGGAACTCGGGGACAATTCTCCCCTGTCGTATACAGTCACTATGAGTCACATCAACCCAGTGACAGTCTGTTTGGTTTGGGTTTGAGGAACTCTCAAGAGGGGCCCTTCTCTTAGAAAGATAGGCTTCTTGAAGGGAGGGACCTACAAGTTACAAGGAACTGCTGCTCCTTGACTGTTGTGTTCAGTCGCGCATGGGATGTGGTAAGAAACAACTTCAGAGGTGGTGTTGGTTAGGTGCCATCTAGTGGCTCCGACTCATGGTGGTGCTGTCTACGTGCAAGAGAATGAGAACCCCCCCAGTCCTGTGCCAGCCTCACAATTATGTTTGAGCCCACTGTGGTGGTCACTGTGTCCCTCCATCTCGTTGAAGGTCTTGTTCTTTTTTTTTGCTTGGTCCCCTAAGACTGGTCCTTTGAATGACAGCATCCTTAATCGTATCACCACTTGGAAACCCTTGATTGAGGTTCACCAGGCGCAGCCTCTGTGAAACTCGTGGGTTTGCGTTGAGTGAACTTCCCGCTGAGTGTCCCTTCCTGTCCCAGCCTGTGCCACCTTGGGACCATTTCTGGATGGCTGTGCCCTTTCCCGGGGGTTAGGTACCGGACAGTCACATAGGACACGAAAGGTGAAAG